GAGAGACAGAGGAAGAGAGACAGAGACAGAGAGACAGAGACAGCAGAGAGAGACAGATAAACAAACACAGAGACAGAGAGTGTGAAAACAGACAGAGAAAAATATTCACAGAAACAAACACTCACTGAGACAGAGACAGAAAGAGAGAGACAGAGAGAGAGAGACAGAGAGAGAGAGAGAGTGAAAGAGACAGATACAGAGAGAGAAAGAGAGACAGTGAGAGACAGAGAGAGAGAAACAAACAGAGAGAGACAGAGAATGAGAGAGAGAGAGAGAGAGAGAGAGTGACAGAGACAGATACAGAGAGAGAAAGAAATTAGACAGTGAGAATATGAGAGAAAACAAAAAAAAGAGAGAGAAAGAGAAATCCAAAACAGAGAGAGAGAGAGAAAGATAAACGAATTAACCCACAAATTAAAAAAATAAATTACAAATGAAAATAACGTCGGAATTAAACACAATGCAGAGAAACCAAACAAATTAGAAGAAAAAGAACAAAATGAATAAATAAACAAAACAAAATAAAAAAACAAATAAAAAATAGAAAACAAAAAAAACCCAAAAACCTACAAAATAAATGAAGGAACAAATAAAGAGAAAATGGAAAAAAATAGAGAAGGATAAATGGAAAATTAGAAAAATAAATAAATAAATGGAAAACAAACAAGAAATCGACCAACAAAAGAAGAAAAATCAAAAAATGAAATGAAATTGACACAAAAGGAAAATAACAGGGAAGAGAGAAAATCCAAAATGAAAGAACTAAACAAAATAAGCAACAAAAAACCATTAAATGGAGAGAGAAAATCCAGCATGAAAAGGAAAAAACACACAGAAAAGAATAAATAGATACAAAGGGAACAAATAGAAAACACCAAATAACAGCAAGAATAAAAAAAAAAAATTAACAGAAGGACCAGGGAAGAGAGAAAAACTCCAAATGAATGGAAAAACAAAGAAGGACCACTGGAAAGAGACCAAAACCAGCATGAATAGAAAAGGACAGAGAAGGATCACAGGAAGAGAGAAAAAAATAATATTCGCATAAAAAGAAAAGAGAGAAGGATCCAAATATATGAAATAATCCAGCATGAATGGAAAAGGGCACAGAAGGACCAGGGAAGAGAGAAAATCCAGCATGAATAGAAAAATCCCACAGAAAAGGACCAGAGGGAAGAGAGAAAATCCAGCATGAATAGAAAATATACACAGAAGGACCAGAGGAAGAGAAAATTCAGGATGAATAGAAAAGGACAATAAAAGGATCCAAATGGAAGATTTTCACCAGAAACTCCAGTAATGAGAAAAATCACAGGACCAGAGAAAATAATAAAGAATAGAAAAGAGGGAAGACATCATATAAATAGTATTTCATGAATGAAGAAAAGGACACAGAAGGACCAGAGGGAAGAGAGAAAAATTATCCAGCATGAATAGAAAAGGACACAGAAGGACCAGAGGGAAAAGAGAAAAAAATCGAGCATGAATAGAAAAAAAACATAGAAGGACCAGAGGGAAGAGAGAAAAGCCACCATGAATGAAAAGGAGACACAGAAAGAGAATAATAAAAAGAGAAAATTTGTATTTATAATGAATAGAAAAGGGACACAGAAGGAGAAAAGGAAGACCAGATGAATAGAAAAGGAGACAGAAGGACCAGAGAAGGAGAATGACAGAAAAGAGACATGAAGAGAAAAGGAAAGGAAGGATCAGAGGAAGAGAGAGAAAAGTAAAGAGATGAATAGAAAAGGACACAGAAGGACCAGAGGGAAGAGAGAAAAACCAGATGAATAGAAAAGGACACAGAAGGATCAGAGGGAAGAGAGAAAATCCAGCAATGAAATGAGAAAAGGACACAGAAGGACCAGAGGAAAGAGAGAGAGAGAATACACCAGAAAAAAAATCCAGGACATGAAGACAAAAGAGAGAAAGAGACACAGAATAGAGAGAGGACAGAGAAGGAGACAGAGGGAAGAGAAAAATCCAGCATGAATAGAAAAACAGACACAGAGAGACCAGAGGGAAGAGAGAAAATCCAGATGAATGAAAAGGACACAGAAGGACCAGAGGGAAGAGAGAAAATCCAGCATGAATAGAAAAAAAACACAGAAGGACCAGAGGAGAAGAGAAAGAAACACAGAGAAAGATCCACAGAGAGAATGAATGGAAAAAGAATAAATAGAAAAGGACCAAGAGAATGAGAGAGAAAGAAAATCAGCATGAATAGAAAAGGACACAGAAGGAAAGAAGAGGGAAGAGAGAAGAAAGAAATATAAAAAAAGACAGAGAAGGACCAGGGAAGAAAAAGAAAAAAATCCAGCATGAATAGAAAAAGCCAGGACAATGAGAAGGACCAGAGGAAGAGAAAAATCCAGCATGAATAGAAAAAGACACAGAAGGACCAGAGAGAAAAAGAGAAAAAAAGCATGAATAGAAAAAAACACAAAGGACCAGAAGAAGGACCACAGGGAAAAGAAAATCCAGCATGAATAGAAAAGGACACAGAAGGACCAGAGGGAAGAGAGAAAATCCAGCATGAATGGAAAAAGACTCAGAAGGACCACTGGAAAGAGAAAAACCAGCAAGAATAGAAAAGGACAGAGAAGGACCACAGGGAAGAGAGAAAACCAGCATGAATAGAAAAGGACACAGAAGGACCAGAGAATAGAAAAGAGAAAAGGACCAGCAAGAGAGAATAGAAAATGAATACAAAAGGACCAGAAGGACCAGAGAAGAGAGAAAAAAAGCATGAATAGAAAAGGACACAGAAGGACCAGGGGAAGAGAGAAATCCATATGAATAGAAAAGGAAACAGAAGGACCATGGAAAAAGCCACCAGAGAAAAAGGAAAGAGAAAAAGCCACCATGATTAGAAGGACCAGAGAGAGATAAAATCCAGCATGAATGGAAAAGGACTCAGAAGGACCACTGGAAAGAGAAAATCCAGCAAGAATAGAAAAGGACACAGAAGGATCAGAGGGAAGAGAGAAAATCCAGCATGAATAGAAAAGGACACAGAAGGACCATTGGAAAGAGAAAATCCAGCATGAATAGAAAAGAGGACACCAGGACACAGAGAGGATGAATAGAAAAGGACAGAGAAGGACCACAGGGAAGAGAGAAAACAAGCATGAATAGAAAAGGAAACATATGTACCACAGGGAAGAGAGAACACAAGCATGAATAGAAAAGGGCACAGAAGGACCAGGGGAAGAGAGAAAATCCAGCATGAATAGAAAAGGACACAGAAGGACCAGAGGGAAGAGAGAAAATCCAGCATGAATAGAAAAGGACACAGAAGGATCAGAGGAAGAGAGAAAATCCAGCATGAATAGAAAAAGGACACAGAAGGACCAGAGGAAGAGAGAAAATCCAGCATGAATAGAAAAGGACACAGAAGGACCAGAGGGATGAATCCAGCATGAATAGAAAATGACACAGAAGGACCAGAGGGAAGAGAGAAAATCCAGCATGAATAGAAAAGGACACAGAAGGATCAGAGGGAAGAGAGAAAATCCAGCATGAATAGAAAAGGACACAGAAGGACCAGAGGGAAGAGAGAAAATCCAGCATGAATAGAAAAGACACAGAAGAAAAGGATCAGGAGGGGAAGAGAGAAAAATCCAACATGAATAGAAAAAGGACACAGAAGGACCAGAGGAAGAGAGAAAATCAAGCATGAATAGAAAAAGGACACAGAAAGGACCAGCAGGAATAGAAGAGAAAATCCAGGAAGAATAGAAAATAGAAAAACACAGAAGGACCAGAGGGAAGAGAGAAAATCCAGCATGAATAGAAAAGGACACAGAAGGACCAGAGGGAAGAGAGAAAATCCAGCATGAATAGAAAAGGACACAGAAGGACCAGAGGAAGAGAGAAAATCCAGCATGAATAGAAAAGGACACAGAAGGACCAGAGAAAGAGAAAAAGCCAGAAGAATAGAAAAGGACACAAGGACCAGAGGGAAGAGAGAAAACCAGCATGAAAAGGACACAGAAGGACCAGAAGAGAAAGAGAGAAATCCAGGATGAATAGAAAGGACACAGAAGGACCAGAGGAAGAGAAAATCCAGAAATAGAATAGAAAAAGACACAGAAGGATCAGAGGGAAGAGAAAAAATCCAGCATGAATAGAAAAGGAAACAAGGACCACAGGGAAGAGAAAAGCCAGAATGAATAGAAAAGACAGAGAATGACATGAAGAGAAAAAACCAGCATGAATAGAAAGAGGAAAGCAGAAGGAAAAGAGGGAAGAGAGAAAAAACCAGCATGAATAGAAAAGGACAAAGGATCAGAGGGAAGAGAGAAAAATCCAGCAAGAATAGAAAAGACACAGAAGGACCAGAGGGAAGAGAGAAAAAATGAATAAAAAGGACACAGAAGGAAAAGCCAGCATGAAGAAAAGGGAAGAGAAAAAATGAAATAGAAAAACACAGAAGGAAAGAGGAAAAATAGAAATAGACCAGAGGAAGAGAGAAAATCCAGCATGAATAGAAAAGGACACAGAAGGACCAGAGGGAAGAGAGAAATCCAGCATGAATAGAAAAGGACACAGAAGGATGAGGAAGGGAAATCCAGAGAAAAAAGGACCAGAAGGATGAGAGGGAAGAGAGAAATCCAGCATGAATAGAAAAGGACACAGAAGGATAGAGAAAGCCAGCATGAATAGAAAAGGACACAGAAGGACCATTGGGAAGAGAAAATCCAGCATGAATAGAAAAGGACACAGAAGGATCAGAGGGAAGAGAGAAAATCCCGCATTAATTGAAAAAGACACAGAAGGATCAGAGGGAAGAAGAACCAGCATGAAAAAAAAGGACACAGAAGGGATGAATAGAAAAAATCCACATGAAAGAAAAACACAGAAGGATCCAGAGGGAAGAGAGAAAAAAGAAAAGGAAGGATCAGAGGAAAGAGAAAATCCAGCATGAATAGAAAAGGACACAGAAGGACCACAGGGAAGAGAGAAAACAAGCATGAATAGAAAAGGACACAGAAGGATCAGAGGGAAGAGAGAAAATCCAGCATGAATAGAAAAGGACACAGAAGGACCAGAGGGAAGAGAAAAAGCATGAAATGAAAAGGACACAGAAGGATGAGAGGGAAGAGAGAAAACCAGCAAGAATAGAAAAAGAAGAGAGGGATCAGATATAAAGAGAATAGAAAATCCAGAATGAATAGAAAAGGACACAGAAGGACCAGAGGGAAGAGAGAAAAAGCAGCATGAATAGAAAAGGACACAGAAGGACCAGAGGGAAGAGAGAAAAAAGGATCAGAGGGAAGGATGAATAGAGAAGGACACAGAAGGACCAAAGGGAATAGAAAAGGAAAAATCCAGCATGGAAGAGAAAAATCAGATGAATGGAAAAAGACCAGAAGAGAGGAAGGAAGAAAGAAAAAGAGAGCATGAATAGAAAAAGACACAGAAGGACCAGAGGGAAGAGAGAAAACCAGCATGAATAGAAAAAACAAGAAGGAAAAAAAAAACAGCAATGAATAGAAAAGGACACAGAAGGATCAGAGGGAAGAGAGAAAAAATAGAAAAGGACACAGAGACCAGAGGGAAGAAAAAACCAGCATGAATAGGACACAGAAGGACCAAGAGAGGGAAAAGAAGAGAGAAAATCCAGCATGAATAGAAAAGGACACAGAAGGACCAGAGGGAAGAGAAAACCAGCATGAAAAACAAGATAGGGAAAGAAAATCCATAAAAAAAGGACAGAAGGACCATAAAAGAGGAAAAGGAAGCATGAATAGAAAAGGACAGAATAGAAAAGAGAGAAAATCCAGCATGAAAAAGAAAAAGAGAGACACAAGAGGGATCAGAGAGAAAAATCCAGCATGAATAGAAAAGGACACAGAAGGACGAGAGGGAACAGAGAGAGAAAAGCCAGCATGAATAGAAAAGGAACACAGAAGGATCAGAGGGAAGAGAGAAAATCCAGCATGAATAGAAAAGGACAGAAGGACCAGAGGGAAGAAGAGAAAAGCCAGCATGAATAGAAAAAGGACACAGAAGGACCAGAGGGAAGAGAGAAAACCAAAAGATAAAGAATAGGGATGAACAAGAAAAGGACAGAAAAAATATAAAGGACCAGAGGAAGAGAGAAAATCCAGCATGAATAGAAAAGGACACAGAAGGACCAGAGGGAAGAAACAAATATGAAAATCCAGATAGAATGAAAGAGAAAAGGACAGAGAAAAGACCAGAAGGATCAAGAGAGAAAATCCAGCATGAATAGAAAAAGGACACAGAAGGAAAAGAGGGAAGAGAGAAAAAAGCCAGCATGAATAGAAAAGGACACAGAAGGAAGAGAGAAGAGAAAAATCCAGCATGAATAGAAAAAAGGACACAGAAGGACCAGAGGGAAGAGAAAAAGCCAGCATGAATAGAAAAGGACACAGAAGGACCAGAGGGAAGAGAGAAAATCCAGCATGAATAGAAAAGAATGACAGAAGGACACAGAGGGAAGAGAGAAAACCAGCATGAATAGGAAAAGAAAAAAAATCCCAGAAAAGACAGAAGGATCAGAAAAAGAGAGAAGAATAGAAAAAGGACACAGAAGGATCAGAGGGAAGAGAGAAAAAATAGCATGAATAGAAAAGGACACAGAAGGATCAGAGGAAGAGAGCCAAAAATAGAGCATGAATAGAAAAGGACACAGAAAACCAGAGGGAAGAGAAAAAATGAATGGAAAGAAAAGGAAAGCATGAATAGAGAAAAAGACACAGAAAAAAGACACAGAAGGATGAGAGGAAGAGAGAAAAGCCAGCATGAATAGAAAAGGACACAGAAGGATCAGAGGGAAGAGAAAAACCAGCATGAATAGAAAAGGACACAGAAGAGAAAGAGAAAAGAGAAGAGAAAATCCAGCATGAATAGAAAAAGCCACATGAGAAAAAGGACACAGAAGGAAGAGAAGAGAAAAAAGATGAATAAAAAAGACAGAAGGACAGAGGAAGAGAAAAACCATCATGAATAGAAAAGGACACAGAAGGATCAGAGGGAAGAGAGAAAATCCATGAATGAATAAGTAAAAAGGACACAGAAGAAAAAAACCAGAGGGAAAGAAGAAAAATCCAGCATGAATAGAAAAGGACACAGAAGGATCAGAGGGAAGAGAGAAAAGCCAGCATGAATAGAAAAGGACACAGAAGGATCAGAGGGAAGAGAGAAAAGCCAGCATGAATAGAAAAGGACACAGAAGGATCAGAGGGAAGAGAGAAAAGCCAGCATGAATAGAAAAGGACACAGAAGGACCAGAGGGAAGAGAGAAAATCCAGCATGAATAGAAAAGGACACAGAAGGACCAGAGGGAAGAGAGAAAAGCCAGCATGAATAGAAAAGGACACAGAAGGACCAGAGGGAAGAGAGAAAATCCAGCATGAATAAAGAAAAGGGACAAAGGGAAGAAGGATCAGAGGGAAAAGAGAAAAGAAGGAGCATGAATAGAAAAGGACAATAGAAGGATCAGAGGGAAGAGTGAAAAGCCAGCATGAATAGAAAAGGACACAGAAGGAAAACAGAAGAATAGAAAAAAAGACAGAGAGAAAAGAAAAAGCCAGCATGAATAGAAAAAGACACAGAAGGATCAGAAGAGAGAAAAATCCAGATGAATAGAAAAGAACAAAAGGATCAGAGGGAAGAAAACCAGCATAATAGAAAAAGAAGACAGAGAAGAGGATCAGAATAGAAAAAGAAAAGGACAGCATGAAGAGAAAAAGCCAGCATGAATAGAAAAGATCAGAGAAGAAGAAAGAAAAAAACCAGCATGAATAGAAAAAGACACAGAAGGATCAGAGGGAAGAGAGAAAACCAGCATGAATAGAAAAAGACACAGAAGGAGATCAGAGGGAAGAGAAAAAGAAAACCAGCATGAATAGAAAAGACACAGAAGGACCAGAGGGAAAAGAGAAAAGAAAAGATGAAGAGAAAAGAAAACATGAATAGAAAAAGGACAGAAGGAAGAGAAGAAAATCCAGAATGAATAGAAAAAGACACAGAAGGACCAGAAAGAAGAGAGAAAAGCCAGCATGAATAGAAAAGAACACAGAAGGATCAGAGGGAAGAGAAAAAGAGCATGAATGAAAAAGATAGAAGGATCAGAGGAAGAGAGAAGGATCAATAGAAAAGACACAGAAAACCAGAAAGAAGAGAAAAATAGAAAAGAACACAGAAGGGAATGAGAAAAAAAAAAAACCAGCATGAATAGAAAAAAGACACAGAAGGAAGAGGGAAGAGAAAAAAATCCAGCATGAATAGAAAAGACACAGAAGGATCAGAGGGAAGAGAGAAAAGCCAGCATGAATAGAAAAGACACAGAAAAAGATGAAAACCAGCATGAATAGAAAAAGATCATCAGAAATATCCATCATGAATAAAAAGACACAGAAGGATCAGAAAGAAGAGAGAAAAGCCAGCATGAATAGAAAAGAACACAGAAGGATCAGAGGGAAGATGAAAATCCAGAATGAATAGAAAAAAGATAGAAAAGAATCAGAAAAGAGCAAAAAAAGAACACAGAATGAAGAGGGAAAAAAAACACATGAAGGAAAAAGACAGAGGAGAAAAAGCCAGCATGAGAGAGAAAAGCCAGCATGAATAGAAAAGAACACAGAAGGACCAGAGGAAGATGAAAAACCAGCATGAATAGAAAAGATACAGAAGGATCAGAGAGAAGAGAAAAATCCATCAAAGAAAAGGAAGAAAGAAGAGAGACAAGCAGAAGGAAAAGAACACAGAAGGGAAAGAGAAAAAAAAAACAGCATGAAAAAAGATAGAAAAGACAAAAATAAGAAGGAAAAGACAGAAGGATCAGAAAGAAGAGAGAAGCCAGCATGAAAAAAGAACCAGAATGAATAGAAAAATAGGAAGAAGGAATCAGAGGGAAGAGAAAAACATCCAAGAATGAAGGAGAAAAGAAGAAAACACAGAAGGATCACAGAAAGAAGAGGGAAGAAAAACCAGCATGAATAGAAAAGAACACAGAAGGATCAGAGGAAGAGAGAAAATCCAGCATGAATAGAAAAGGACACAGAAGGATCAGAGGAAAGAGAAAAAAAGCCAGGGAATAGAAAAAAAACACAGAAGGATCAGAAAGAAGAGAGAAAAGCCAGAATGAAAAGAAAAGGAACAGGAAGAGAAAATCAGAGATGAAGAAAAGACACAGAAGGAAGAAAGAAGAAAAAAGCCAGCATGAATAGAAAAGAACACAGAAGGACCAGAGGGAAGAGAAAAAACCAGCATGAATAGAAAAAGATAGAAAAAGGGAAGAGAAAAAGCTATGAAGAAAAAAGACACAGAAGGATCAGAGAGAGAAAAGCCAGCATGAATAGAAAAGAACACAGAAGGATCAGAGGGAAGATGGAAAACCAGCATGAATAGAAAAGATAGAAGGAATCAGAGGGAAGAGAAAAAAAAAGCCATCATGAAGAGAAAAAGACACAGAAGGATCAGAAAGAAGAGAGAAAAGCCAGCATGAATAGAAAAGAACACAGAAGGATCAGAGGGAAGATGGAAAACCAGCATGAATAGAAAAAGATAGAAGAATCAGAGGGAAGAGAAAAAAGCCATCATGAAGAGAAAAAGACACAGAAGGATCAGAAAGAAGAGAGAAAAGCCAGCATGAATAGAAAAGAACACAGAAGGATCAGAGGGAAGATGGAAAACCAGCATGAATAGAAAAAGATAGAAGGATCAGAGGGAAGAGAAAAAAGCCATCATGAAGAGAAAAAACACAGAAGGATCAGAAAGAAGAGAGAAAAGCCAGCATGAATAGAAAAGAACACAGAAAGATCAGAGGGAAGATGGAAAACCAGCATGAATAGAAAAAGATAGAAGGATCAGAGGGAAGAGAAAAATCCATCATGAAGAGAAAAGACACACAGAAGGATCAGAAAGATGAATAGAAAAGAAATACAGAAAGATGAATAAGAAAAAGAACATAGAAAAGGATCAGAGGGAAGATGAAAATCCAGCATGAAAAGAAAAAGGATCAGAAAGAAGAGAGAAAAGCCAGAAGAATAGAAAAAAAACAGAAGGATCCAGGATGAAGAGAAAAAACGAATAGAAGGATCAGAAAGAAGATCATGAAGAAAAAGCACAGAAGGATCAAAGAAGAGAATAGAAAAAAAAGAACACAGAAGGATCAGAGGGAAGATGGAAAACCAGCATGAATAGAAAAAGAAAAGAAGAATCAGAGGGAAGGAGAGAAAAAAAGCCATCATGAAGAGAAAAGACACAGAAGGATCAGAAAGAAGAGAGAAAATATCCAGCATGAATAGAAAAGAAAACAGAAGGATCAGAGGGAAGATGGAAAACCAGCATGAATAGAAAAAAAATAGAAGGATCAGAGGAAGAGAAAAGCCATCATGAATAGAAAAGACACAGAAGGATCAGAAAGAAGAGAGAAAAGCCAGCATGAATAGAAAAGAACACAGAAGGATCAGAGGGAAGATGGAAAACCAGCATGAATAGAAAAAAGAATAGAAGGATCAGAGGGAAGAAAAAATCCATCATGAAGAGAAAAAGACACAGAAGGATCAGAAAGAAGAGAGAAAAGCCAGCATGAATAGAAAAGAACACAGAAGGATCAGAGGGAAGATGGAAAACCAGCATGAATAGAAAAAGATAGAAGGATCAGAGGGAAGAGAAAAAATCCATCATGAAGAGAAAAAGACACAGAAGGATCAGAAAGAAGAGAGAAAAGCCAGCATGAATAGAAAAAGAACACAGAAGGATCAGAGGAAGATGGAAAACCAGCATGAATAGAAAAAGATAGAAGGATCAGAGGGAAGAGAAAAAATCCATCATGAAGAGAAAAAACACAGAAGGATCAGAAAGAAGAGAGAAAAGCCAGCATGAATAGAAAAGAACACAGAAGGATCAGAGGGAAGATGGAAAACCAGCATGAATAGAAAAAGATAGAAGGATCAGAGGGAAGAGAAAAAATCCATCATGAATAGAAAAAGACACAGAAGGATCAGAAAGAAGAGAGAAAAGCCAGCATGAATAGAAAAGAACACAGAAGGATCAGAGGGAAGATGGAAAACCAGCATGAATAGAAAAAAGATAGAAGGATCAGAGGGAAGAGAAAATCCATCATGAAGAAAAAGAAAAGGAGAAAGAAGAGAGAAAAGCCAGCATGAATAGAAAAGAAGACAGAAGGATCAGAGGAAGAGAAAAGAATGAATAGAAAAGATAGAAGGATCAGAAGAAGAAAAACCATCATGAAGAGAAAAGACAGAAGGAAGAAAGAAGAAAAAAGCCAGCATGAATAGAAAAGAACACAGAAGGATCAGAAAGAAGAGATAGCATGAATAGAAAAAGAACAGAAGGATCAGAGGGAAGAGAAAAAAATGAAGAGAAAAAAATACAGAAGGATCAGAAAGAAGAGAAAAAAGCCAGCATGAATAGAAAAAGACACAGAAGGATCAGAGGGAAGAGAAAAAGCCAGCATGAATAGAAAAGATAGAAGGACAGAAGAGAAAAAAGCAGAAAAAAGACAGAAGGATCAGAGAGAAAAGATGAATAGAAAAGAACACAGAAGGATCAGAGGGAAGATGGAAACCAGCATGAATAGAAAAATCAGAAGGAAGAGGGAAAAAAGCCATCATGAAGAGAAAAGACACAGAAGGATCAGAAAGAAGAGAGAAAAGCCAGCATGAATAGAAAAGAACACAGAAGGATCAGAGGGAAGATGGAAAACCAGCATGAATAGAAAAGATAGAAGGATCAGAGGGAAGAGAAAAATCCATCATGAAGAGAAAAAGACACAGAAGGATCAGAAAGAAGAGAGAAAAATACAGCATGAATAGAAAAGAACACAGAAGGATCAGAGGGAAGATGGAAAACCAGAAAAAGGGAAGGATGAGGGAAACCAGCATGAATAGAAAAAGACAGAAGAATCAGAGGGAAGAGAAAAAGCCATCATGAAGAGAAAAAGACACAGAAGGATCAGAAAGAAGAGAGAGAAAAGCCAGAGAAGAGAGAAAACCAGCCAATAGAAAAGAAGAAGGATAGAGGAAAGAAAAAATCACAGAAGGATCAGAGGAAAAGATGAATAGAAAAGAACACAGAAGGATCAGAAAGTAGAAAAAATGAATAGAAGGATCAGAAGGAAGAGAAAAAACATCCATCATGAAGAGAAAAAGACACAGAAGGATCAGAAAGAAGAGAGAAAAAGCCAGCATGAATAGAAAAGAACACAGAAGATCAGAGGGAAGATGAAAACCAGCATGAATAGAAAAAAAAAGAAGGATCAGAGGGAAGAGAAAAATCCATCATGAAGAGAAAAAGACACAGAAGGATCAGAAAGAAGAGAGAAAAGCCAGCATGAATAGAAAAGAACACAGAAGGATCAGAGGAAAGATGGAAAACCAGCATGAATAGAAAAAGATAGAAGAATCAGAGGGAAGAGAAAACATCCATCATGAAGAGAAAAAGACACAGAAGGATCAGAAAGAAGAGAGAAAAGCCAGCATGAATAGAAAAGAACACAGAAGTATCAGAGGGAAGATGGAAAAACAGGATGAATAGAAAAAAGAAGGATTGAGAAGGAAAAATCTACCATGAAATAGAAAGAGGGAAGAGAAAAAATGAATAGATCATGAAGAGAAAAAAAGAAGGACAGAAGGAAAAATCAGAAAAAAAAGAAGAAGAAAAGCCAGAGCATGAATAATAAAAGAACACAGAAGGATCAGAGGAAAGATGGAAAACCAGCATGAATAGAAAAAGATAGAAGGATCAGAGGGAAGAGAAAAAATCCATCATGAAGAGAAAAAGACACAGAAGGATCAGAAAGAAGAGAGAAAAGCCAGCATGAATAGAAAAGAACACAGAAGGATCAGAGGGAAGATGGAAAACCAGCATGAATAGAAAAAGATAGAAGGATCAGAGGGAAGAGAAAACATCCATCATGAAGAGAAAAAGACACAGAAGGATCAGAAAGAAGAGAGAAAAGCCAGCATGAATAGAAAAAAAATACAGAAGGATCAGAGGAAGATGGAAAACCAGCATGAATAGAAAAAGATAGAAGAATCAGAGGGAAGAGAAAAAAAGCCATCATGAATAGAAAAGACACAGAAGGATCAGAAGAGAAAAAGACAATAGAAAAAAAAGAACACAGAAGGAAACCAGCATGAATAGAAAAAGATAGAAGGATCAGAAAAAAATCCATCATGAAGAAAAAAGAGAGAAAAGCCAGCATGAATAGAAAAGAACACAGAAGTATCAGAGGGAAGATGGAAAACCAGCATGAATAGAAAAAGATAGAAGGATCAGAGGGAAGAGAAAACATCCATCATGAAGAGAAAAAGACACAGAAGGATCAGAAAGAAGAGAGAAAAGCCAGCATGAATAGAAAAGAACACAGAAGTATCAGAGGGAAGATGGAAAACCAGCATGAATAGAAAAAGATAGAAGGATCAGAGGAAGAGAAAAAGCCATCATGAAGAGAAAAGACACAGAAGGATCAGAAAGAAGAGAGAAAAGCCAGCATGAATAGAAAAGAACACAGAAAGATCAGAGGGAAGATGGAAAACCAGCATGAATAGAAAAAGATAGAAGAATCAGAGGGATGAGAAATATCCATCATGAAGAGAAAAAGACACAGAAGGATCAGAAAGAAGAGAGAAAAGCCAGCATGAATAGAAAAGAACACAGAAGGATCAGAGGGAAGATGGAAAACCAGCATGAATAGAAAAAGATAGAAGAATCAGAGGGAAGAGAAAAAAGCCATCATGAAGAGAAAAAGACACAGAAGGATCAGAAAGAAGAGAGAAAAGCCAGCATGAATAGAAAAGAACACAGAAAGATCAGAGGGAAGATGGAAAACCAGCATGAATAGAAAAAGATAGAAGAATCAGAGGGAAGAGAAAAAAGCCATCATGAAGAGAAAAAGACACAGAAGGATCAGAAAGAAGAGAGAAAAGCCAGCATGAATAGAAAAGAACACAGAAGTATCAGAGGGAAGATGGAAAACCAGCATGAATAGAAAAAGATAGAAGAATCAGAGGGAAGAGAAAACATCCATCATGAATAGAAAAAAGACACAGAAGGACTCAGAAAGAAGAGAGAAAAGCCAGCATGAATAGAAAAGAACACAGAAGGATCAGAGGAAGATGGAAACCAGCATGAATAGAAAAAAGATAGAAGGATCAGAGGAAAGATGGAAAAACTCAGGAGGGAAGAGAAAAAAAAAGACAGAAGGATCAGAGGAAGATGGAAAACCAGATGAAAAAAAGATAGAAGGATCAGAAGGAAAATCCATCAGAAAGAAAAAACACAGAGAGAAAAAGAGAGAAAAGCCAGCATGAATAGAAAAGAACACAGAAGTATCAGAGGGAAGATGGAAAACCAGCATGAATAGAAAAAGATAGAAGGATCAGAGGGAAGAGAAAACATCCATCATGAAGAGAAAAAGACACAGAAGGATCAGAAAGAAGAGAGAAAAGCCAGCATGAATAGAAAAGAACACAGAAGTATCAGAGGGAAGATGGAAAACCAGCATGAATAGAAAAAGATAGAAGAATCAGAGGGAAGAGAAAAAAGCCATCATGAAGAGAAAAAGACACAGAAGGATCAGAAAGAAGAGAGAAAAGCCAGCATGAATAGAAAAGAACACAGAAGGATCAGAGGGAAGATGGAAAACCAGCATGAATAGAAAAAGATAGAAGGATCAGAGGGAAGAGAAAAAGCCATCATGAAGAGAAAAAACACAGAAGGATCAGAAAGAAGAGAGAAAAGCCAGGATGAATAGAAAAGAACACAGAAGGATCAGAGGGAAGATGGAAAAACCAGCATGAATAGAAAAATAGATAGAGAAGAATCATGAAGAGGAAGAGAAAAGAGAGAAAGCCATCATGAAGAGAAAAAACACACAGAAGGATCAGAAAGAAGAGAGAAAAGCCAAAGATGAATAGAAAAGAAAATCACAGAAGAGAAAAAACACAGAAGGGAAGATGAGAAAACCAGCATGAATAGAAAAAACACAGAAGGATCAGAGGGATGGAAGAGAAAAAAAAGCCATCATGAAGAGAAAAGACACAGAAGGATCAGAAAGAAGAGAGAAAAGCCAGCATGAATAGAAAAGAAACACAGAAGGATCAGAGGAAGATGGAAACCAAAGCATGAATAGAAAAAGATAGAAGGATCAGAGGGAAGAGAAAAAAAAACCATCATGAAGAGAAAAAAGACACAGAAGGATCAGAAAGAAGAGAGAAAAGCCAGCATGAATAGAAAAGAACACAGAAGGATCAGAGGAAGATGGAAAGAGAAGCATGAATAGAAAAGAAGGATAGAAGAATCAGAGGGAAGAGAAAAGCCATCATGAAGAGAAAAAGACACAGAAGGATCAGAAAGAAGAGAGAAAAGCCAGCATGAATAGAAAAGAACACAGAAGGATCAGAGGGAAGATGGAAACCAGCATGAATAGAAAAAGATAGAAGGATCAGAGGGAAGAGAAAAATCATCATGAAGAGAAAAAAACACAGAAGGATCAGAAAGAAGAGAAAAAGCCAGCATGAATAGAAAAGAACACAGAAGGATCAGAGGGAAGATGGAAAACCAGCATGAATAGAAAAGAAGGATCAGAGGGAAGAGAAAAGATCATGAAGAGAAAAACAGAAGGATCAGAAAGAAGAGAGAAAAGCCAGCATGAATAGAAAAGAACACAGAAAGAAGAGAGGGAAGATGGAAAACCAGCATGAATAGAAAAGAAGAAGGATCAGAGGAAGAAAAAGATCATGAAGAGAAAAAGAAGGAAAAAACCAGCAAAAGAAATAGAAAAGAAACACAGAAAAGATCAGAGGGAAGATGAAAAAAATAGAAAAGAAAGAAGAAAGGAAGAGAAAAATCCAGGATGAAGAGGAAAAAGAAACACAGAAGGATCAGAAAGGAAGAGAGAAAAGACAGATGAAATAGAAAAAGACACAGAAGGATCAGAGGAAGAAAAGGCATGGAAAACCAGCATGAATAGAAAAAAGAGAAGGATCAGAGGGAAGAGAAAAAAGCCATCATGAATAGAAAAAGACACAGAAGGATCAGAAAGAAGAGAGAAAAGCCAGCATGAATAGAAAAGAACACAGAAAGATCAGAGGGAAGATGGAAAACCAGCATGAATAGAAAAAGATAGAAGGATCAGAAAGAGAAAAGATAGAAGAGAAAACACAGAAGGAAGAAAGAAAGAGAAAGCCAGCATGAAGAGAAAAACACAGAAAGATCAGAAAGATGGAAAACCAGCATGAATAGAAAAAGATAGAAGGAGAGAAGAGAAAAAGCCATCAAGCAAGAAAAGACACAGAAGGACTAAAGAAAGAGAAAAGCCACAGAATAGAAAAAGAACACAGAAAGATCAGAGGGAAGATGGAAAAACCAAAATGAATAGAAAAAAAGATAGAAGGATCAGAGGGAAGAGAAAAAATCCATCATGAAGAGAAAACAGAAGGACAGAAGGAGAGAAAAGCCAGAAAGAAGAGAGAAAAGCCAGCATGAATAGAAAAAGAAACACAGAAGGATCAGAGGGAAGATGGAAAAACCAGCATGAATAGAAAAGATAGAAGGATCAGAGGAGAAGAGAAAAAGCATCATGAAGAGAAAAAGACACAGAAGGAAGACTAGAAAGAAGAGAGAAAAAGCCAGCATGAATAGAAAAAGAACACAGAAAGATCAGAGGGAAGATGGAAAACCACAGAATGAATAGAAAAAGATAGAAGGAAAAGAGGGAAGAGAAAAGAGAAAATGAAGAGAAAAAAAACACAGAAGGATCAGAAAGAAGAGAGAAAAGCCAGCATGAATAGAAAAGAACACAGAAGGATCAGAGGGAAGATGGAAAACCAGCATGAATAGAAAAAGATAGAAGGATCAGAGGAAAAAAGAGAAAAAAAACACAGAAGGATCATGAAGAGAAAAGACACAGAAGGAACACACAGAAAGAAGAGAGAAAAGCCAGCATGAATAGAAAAAGAAAGAACACAGAATAGAAAAGAGGGAAGATGGAAAACCAGCATGAATAGAAAAGATAGAAGGATCAGAGGGAAGAGAAAAAGCCAGAAGGACATGAAGAGAAAAGACACAGAAGGACTCAGAAAGAAGAGAGAAAAGCCAGCATGAATAGGAAAAGAACACAGCATGAAGGAAAGAACAGAAAGATCAGAAGAAGATGAAAACCAGCATGAATAGAAAAGAAAAAAATAGAAGGATCAGAGGGAAGAGAAAAAAAAGCCATCATGAAGAGAAAAAAACACAGAAGGAAAAAGAGAAAGAAGAGAAAAGCCAGCATGAATAGAAAAGAACACAGAAGGATCAGAGGGAAGATGGAAACCAGCATGAATAGAAAAAAAGATAGAAGGATCAGAGGAAGAGAAAAAAGCCACTGCGAAGAGAAAACACAGAAGGATGAAAGAAGAAAAAAGCCACATGAAAGGAAAAGAAACACAGAAGATCAGATGGAAAACCAGAAAAAAGAAGAGAGAAAGAGAAAAGCCATCATGAATAGAAAAGAACACAGAAGGAAGAGAGAAAAGCTCAGAGGATCAGAAGATGGAAAAACCAGCATGAATAGAAAAAGATAGAAGGATCAGAGGAAGAGAAAAATCCATCATGAAGAGAAAAAGACACAGAAGGATCAGAAAGAAGAGAGAAAAAAGCCAGCATGAATAGAAAAGAACACAGAAGGATCAGAGGAAGATGGAAAACCAGCATGAATAGAAAAGATAGAAGGATCAGAGGAAGAGAAAAAGCCATCATGAAGAGAAAAAAAAACACAGAAGGATCAGAAAGAAGAGAGAAAAGCCAGCATGAATAGAAAAAGAACACAGAAGGATCAGAGGAAGATGGAAAACCAGCATGAATAGAAAAAGATAGAAGGATCAGAGGGAAGAGAAAAAAGAATAGAAAAAGACAGAAGGATCATGAAGAGAGAAAAGACACAGAAGGATCAGAAAGGAAGAGAGAAAAGCCAGCATGAATAGAAAAGAACACAGAAGGATCAGAGGAAGATGGAAAACCAGCATGAATAGAAAAAGATAGAAGGATCAGAGGAAGAGAAAACCATCCATCATGAAGAAAAAAGACACAGAAGGATCAGAAAGAAGAGAGAAAAGCCAGCATGAATAGAAAAGAACACAGAAAGTTCAGAGGGAAGATGGAAAACCAGCATGAATAGAAAAAGATAGAAGGATCAGAGGGAAGAGAAATATCCATCATGAATAGAAAAAGACACAGAAGGATCAGAAAGAAGAGAGAAAAGCCAGCATGAATAGAAAAGAACACAGAAGGATCAGAGGAAGATGGAAACCAGCATGATAGAAAAAGATAGAAGGATCAGAGGGAGAGAAAAAGCCATCATGAAGAGAAAAAGAAGGATCACCAGAAGGAAATCAGAAAGAAGAGAAAAAGCCAGCATGAATAGAAAAGAACACAGAAAAAAGACAAAGAAGGATCAGAGGGAAGATGAATAGAAAAAACACAGAAGGATCAGAGGGAAGATGGAAAACCAGTGAATAGAAAAAGATAGAAGGATCAGAGGAAGAGAAAAAGCCATCATGAATAGAAAAAGACACAGAAGGATCAGAAAGAAGAGAGAAAAGCCAGCATGAATAGAAAAGAACACAGAAGGATCAGAGGGAAGATGGAAAACCAGCATGAATAGAAAAAGATAGAAGGATCAGAGGGAAGAGAAAAAAGCCATCATGAAGAGAAAAAGACACAGAAGGATCAGAAAGAAGAGAGAAAAGCCAGCATGAATAGAAAAGAACACAGAAGGATCAGAGGGAAGATGGAAAACCAGCATGAATAGAAAAAGATAGAAGAATCAGAGGGAAGAGAAAAAGCCATCATGAATAGAAAAAGACACAGAAGGATCAGAAAGAAGAGAGAAAAGCCAGCATGAATAGAAAAGAACACAGAAGGATCAGAGGGAAGATGGAAAACCAGCATGAATAGAAAAAGATAGAAGGATCAGAGGGAAGAGAAATATCCATCATGAAGAGAAAAAGACACAGAAGGATCAGAAAGAAGAGAGAAAAGCCAGCATGAATAGAAAAGAACACAGAAGGATCAGAGGGAAGATGGAAAACCAGCATGAATAGAAAAAGATAGAAGGATCAGAGGGATGAGAAAAAAGCCATCATGAAGAGAAAAAGACACAGAAGGATCAGAAAGAAGAGAGAAAAAGCCAGCATGAATAGAAAAGAAATACAGAAGGATTGGAGGGAAGATGGAAAACCAGCATGAAAGAGAAAAGATAGAAGGATCAGAGGGAAGAGAAAAATCCATCATGAAGAGAAAAAGACACAGAAGGATCAGAAAGAAGAGAGAAAAGCCAGGATGAATAGAAAAGAAACACAGAAGGATCAGAGGGAAGATGGAAAACCAGCATGAATAGAAAAAATAGAAGAATCAGAGGGAAGAGAAAAAGAGAAAAGCCAGGATGAAGAGAAAAGACACAGAAGGATCAGAAAGAAGAGAGAAAAGCCAGCATGAATAGAAAAGAACACAGAAGGATCAGAGGGAAGATGGAAAACCAGATGAATAGAAAAGATAGAAGGATCAGGAAGAGAAAAAGCATGAATAAAAACACAGAAGGACTGAAAAGAGAAAAGACACAGAAGGATCAGAAAGAAGAGAGAAAAGCCAGCATGAATAGAAAAGAACACAGAAGGATCAGAAAGGAGAAGATGGAAAGAAAAGAACCAAAACCAGCATGAATAGAAAAAGATAGAAGGATCAGAGGAAGAGAAAAGCCATCATGAAGAGAAAAAGACACAGAAGGACAAAGAAGAGAGAAAAGCCAGAAGAATAGAAAAGAACACAGAAGATGAAAGATGAAAAGCATGAACAGAAAAAGATAGAAGGATCAGAGGAAAAAAAGATGAAAGAAAAGCATGAATAGAAAAAGAGAGAAAAGCCAGGATGAATAGAAAAGAACACAGAAGGATCAGAGGAAGATGGAAACCAGAAGAATAAAAAAGATCCAAGGATCAGAGGGAGAGAAAAAAAATGAATAGAAAAAGACACAGAAGGATCAGAAAGAAGAGAGAAAAGCCAGCATGAATAGAAAAGAACACAGAAGGATCAGAGGGGAAGATGGAAAACCAGCATGAATAGAAAAGATAGAAGGATCAGAGGGAAGAGAAAAAATCCATCATGAATAGAAAAACAGAAGGACAGAAGGAAGAGAAAAGAAGAGAGAAAAGCCAGCATGAATAGAAAAGAACACAGAAGGATCAGAGGAGGATGAAGATGGAAAACCAGCATGAATAGAAAAAAGATAGAAGGATCAGAGGGAAGAGAAAAAATCCAGCATGAATAGAAAAAGACACAGAAGGATCATGAGAGAAAAGCCAGACATGAATAGAAAAGAAAAGCACAGAAGGATCAGAAAGATGGAAAACCACCAGCATGAAAAAGAAGAAAAAAATCCATCATGAAGAGAAAAGAAGAAGGATCAGAAGAGAGAGAAAAGAAAAGGATCAGAAAAGCCAGCATGAAAGAGAAAAAGGGAAGAGAGAAGGATCAGAAAGAAGAGAGAAAAGCCAGGATGAATAGAAAAGAAACACAGAAGGATCAGAGGATGAAACCAGATGAATAGAAAAGATAGAAGGATCAGAGGGAAGAGAAAAATCCATCATGAATAGAAAAGACAGAAGGATCAGAAAGAAGAGAGAAAAGCCAGAATAGAAAAGAACATGAAGAGAGGGAAGATGGAAAAGCCAGCATGAATAGAAAAGGATCACAGGAAAGAGAAAAATCCATCATGAAAGAAGACAGAAGAAAAAGAAGAGAGAAAAGCCAGCATGAATAGAAAAGAACACAGAAGGATCAGAGGGAAGATGGAAAACCAGCATGAATAGAAAAAGATAGAAGGATCAGAGGGAAGAGAAAAAAGCCATCATGAATAGAAAAAGACACAGAAGGATCAGAAAGAAGAGAGAAAAGCCAGGATGAATAGAAAAGAACACAGAAGGACAGAGGGAAGATGGAAACCAGCATGAATAGAAAAAGAAAGGACCAGAGGAAGAGAAAAAGATCATGAAGGAAAAGAGACAGAAGGATCAGAAAGAAGAGAGAAAAGCCAGCATGAATAGAAAAGAATCACAGAAGGATCAGAGGGAAGATGGAAAACCAGCATGAATAGAAAAGAGAATAGAAGGAAAGAAAGAGAAAAAGCCATCATGAAGAAAAAGATCAGAAGGATCAGAAAGAAGAGAGAAAAAGAGAATAGAAAAGAACACAGAAGGATGAATAGAAAAGGATCAGAACACAGAAGGATCAGAGAAGAGAGAAAGATGGAAAACAGAAGGATCAGAGGAAGATGAAAACTGTATGAATAGAAAAGATAGAAGGATGAAACAGAAAAAGACATCAGAATGAATAGAAAAAGAAGAAGGACTGGGAGAAAAAAGAAAGGATCAGAGAAGGAAGGATCAGAGGGAAGAGAAAAAAAGAACATCATGGAAAACCAGAAATAGAAAAAGAAAGGGGATCAGAGGGAAGAGAAAAAGCCATCATCAAGAAAAAGACACAGAAGGAGAAAAGAAGAGAAAAGCCAGGATGAATAGAAAAGAACACAGAAGGATCAGAGGGAAGATGGAAAACCAGCATGAATAGAAAAGATAGAAGGATCAGAGGGAAGAGAAAAAAAGCCATCATGAAGAGAAAAGGACACAGAAGGACTGTGGAAAGAAGAGAGAAAAGCCAGCATGAATAGAAAAGAAATACAGAAGGATCAGAGGGAAGATGGAAAACCAGCATGAATAGAAAAAGATAGAAGGATCAGAGGGAAGAGAAAAATCCATCATGAAGAGAAAAAAGACACAGAAGGATCAGAAAGAAGAGAGAAAAGCCAGCATGAATAGAAAAGAAATAGAAGGATCAGAGGGAAGATGGAAAACCAGCATGAATAGAAAAAGATAGAAGGAAGAGGAAGAGAAAAATCCAGCATGAAGAGAAAAGGACACAGAAGGATCAGAAAGAAGAGAGAAAAGCCATGAATAGAAAAGAACACAGAAGGATCAGAGATGGAAACCAGCAAATAGAAAAGATAGAAGGATCAGAGGGAAGAGAAAAATCCATCATGAAGAGAAAAAGACACAGAAGGAAAAAGAAGAGAGAAAAAGCCAGCATGAATAGAAAAGAACACAGAAGGATCAGAAAGATAGAAGGATCAGAGGGAAGAAAAAAATCCATCATGAATAGAAAAGACACAGAAGGATCAGAAAGAAGAGAAAGCCAGCATGAATAGAAAAGAACACAGAAGGATCAGAGGAAGATGGAAAACCAGCATGAATAGAAAAAGATAGAAGGAAAAGACAGAGGGAAGAGAAAAAGCCATCATGAATAGAAAAAAGACACAGAAGGATCAGAAAGAAGAGAGAAAAAAAAGCCAGCATGAATAGAAAAAGAACACAGAAAGATTCAGAGGGAAGAAGGAATAGAAAAAGAAGGAAAAAGGAGATGGAAAAAATAGCATGAAAACCAAAAGATAGAAGAATCAGAGGGAAGAGAAAAGCCATCAATGAAGAGAAAAAACACAGAAGGATCAGAAAGAAGAGAGAAAAAGCCAGCATGAATAGAAAAGAAAGGATCAGAAGGAAAAGAGGGAAGATGGAAAAGGACACAGCATGAATAGAAAAAAGATAGAAGGATCAGAGGGGAAGAGAAATGGAAACCATCATGAAGAGAAAAAGACAGAAAAAAAGAAGGAGAAAAAGACAGAAAGAAGAGAGAAAAGATGGAAACAGCATGAATAGAAAAAGAAAGGACAGAAGAAAAAGATCAGAATAGGGAAGATGGAAAAAGAGAGAAAAAGCAGCATGAATAGAAAAGAACACAGAAGGAGGATGGAAACCAGAGGAAGAAGAGAAAAAAAGCCATCATGAAGAGAAAAGACACAGAAGGATCAGAAAGAAGAGAGAAAAGCCAGCATGAATAGAAAAGAACACAGAAGGATCAGAGGGAAGATGAAAACCAGCAGAATAGAAAAAAGATAGAAGGATCAGAGGAAGAGAAAAAGCCAGCATGAATAGAAAAGATAGAAGGATCAGAAAGAAGAGAGAAAAAGCCAAAGATCAGAAGGATCAGAAAAGGACACAGAAGATGGAAAAAAAAAGCATGAATAGAAAAGATAGAAGGATCAGAGGGAAGAGGAAAAATCCATGAATAGAAAGAAAAAGACACAGAAGGAGAAAAGAAGAGAGAAAAGCCAAAAGCATGAATAGAAAAGAACACAGAAGGATCAGAGGGAAGATGGAAAACCAGCATGAATAGAAAAAGATAGAAGGATCAGAGGGAAGAGAAAAAATCCAGCATGAATAGAAAAAGACACAGAAGGATCAGAAAGAAGAGAGAAAAGCCAGCATGAATAGAAAAGAACACAGAAGGATCAGAGGGAAGATGGAAAACCAGCATGAATAGAAAAAGATAGAAGGATCAGAGGGAAGAGAAAAAGCCATCATGAAGAGAAAAAACACAGAAGGATCAGAAAGAAGAGAGAAAAGCCAGCATGAATAGAAAAGAACACAGAAGGATCAGAGGGAAGATGGAAAACCAGCATGAATAGAAAAAGATAGAAGGATCAGAGGGAAGAGAAAAAAGCCATCATGAAGAGAAAAAGACACAGAAGGATCAGAAAAAGAGAGAAAAGCAGCATGAATAGAAAAGAAACACAGAAGGATCAGAGGAAGATGGAAACCAGCATGAATAGAAAAGATAGAAGGATCAGAGGGAAGAGAAAAATCCATCATGAAGAGAAAAAAGACACAGAAGGATGAAAGAAGAGAGAAAAGCCAGCATGAAAAAAAGAACACAGAAGGATCAGAGGAAGATGGAAAACCAGCATGAATAGAAAAAGATAGAAGGATCAGAGGGAAGAGAAAGAATCCAGATGAAGAGAAAAAGGACACAGAAGGATCAGAAAAGAAGAGAAAAGCCAGAGGGAAGAGAAACCAGAAAAGAAAAAGAAGAAGGATCAGAAGAGAAAAAAGCCATCATCAGAGAAAAAAGACAGAAGATGGAAAGAGAAAAAGCCAGAATAGAAAAGAACACAGAAGGATCAGAGGGAAGATGAAAAGATGAATAGAAAAGATAGAAGGATCAGAGGGAAGAGAAAAAATCCATCATGAAGAGAAAAAGACACAGAAGGATCAGAAAGAAGAGAGAAAAGCCAGGATGAATAGAAAAGAACACAGAAGGATCAGAGGGAAGATGGAAAACCAGCATGAATAGAAAAAGATAGAAGGATCTGAGGGAAGAGAAAAATCCATCATGAAGAGAAAAAGACACAGAAGGATCAGAAAGAAGAGAGAAAAGCCAGCATGAATAGAAAAGAACACAGAAGGATCAGAGGGAAGATGGAAACCAGCATGAATAGAAAAAAGATAGAAGGATCAGAGGGAGAAAAGCCATCATGAATAGAAAAAGACACAGAAGGATCAGAAAGAAGAGAGAAAAGCCAGGATGAATAGAAAAGAAATATCCACACAGAAGGATCAGAGGGAAGATGGAAAAGAACCAGAAAAGAAAAAAGATAGAAGGATCAGAAAAGAAAATATCCAGAAGAGAAAAGACACAGAAGGATCAGAAGAAGAGAAAAGCCAGGGATGAATAGAAAAAAGACAGAAGGAAAAATCAGAACAGAAGAAAAAAGAGAAAAAGCCAGCATGAATAGAAAAGAACACAGAAGGATCAGAGGGAAGATGGAAAACCAGCATGAATAGAAAAAGATAGAAGGATCAGAGGGAAGAGAAAAAAGCCAGCATGAATAGAAAAGGACACAGAAGGATCAGAAAGAAGAGAGAAAAGCCAGGATGAATAGAAAGAAAAAGAAGAAGGATCAGAGGGAAGATGGAAAAGCCAGCATGAATAGAAAAAGATCTGAAGGATCAGAAGAGAAAAAGACAGGGAAGAGAAAAAGCCAGCATGAATAGAAAAAGACACAGAAGGATCAGAGGGAAGAGAGGAAAACCAGCATGAATAGAAAAGATAGAAGGATCAAAAAAAGCCATCATGAATAGAAAAAGACACAGAAGGAAGAAAGAAGAGAGAAAAGCCAGCATGAATAGAAAAGAAAGAAGGAGGGAAGATGGAAAAACCAAAAATAGAAAAAGATAGAAGGATGAATAGAATAGAAAAAGATAGAGAAGGATCAGAAAGAAGAGAGAAAAGCCAGCATGAATAGAAAAGAACACAGAAGGATCAGAGGGAAGATGGAAAACCAGCATGAATAGAAAAGATAGAAGGATCAGAATAGGAAGAGGAAAAAAAGAGAGAAAAGCATGAATAGAAAAGAACACAAAGGATCAGAAAGAAAACCAGATGAATAGAAAAAGATAAAGGATCAGAAGGAATAGAAAAGCCAAATAGAAAAGGAGAAGGATCAGAAAGAAGGAAAAAGCCAGATGAATAGAAAAAAAAAAGATAGAAGGATCAGAGGGAAGAGAAAAGCCATCATGAATAGAAAAGAAGGATCAGAAAGAAGAGAGAAAAGCCAGCATGAATAGAAAAGAACACAGAAGGATCAGAGGTAAGATGGAAAACCAGGATGAATAGAAAAAGATAGAAGGATCAGAGGGAAGAGAAAAAATCCATCATGAAGAGAAAAAGACACAGAAGGATCAGAAAGAAGAGAGAAAAGCCAGCATGAATATAAAAGGACACAGAAAATTCAGAGGGAAGAGAGAAAACGCAGCATGTATAGAAAAGTACACAGAAGGATCAGAGAGAAGAGAGAAACCAGTTTGAAATGAAAAGGACACAGAAGGACCAATGGGAAGAGAGAGAAGCCCGCATTAATAGAAATGTACACAGATGGTTCAGAGTGAAGAAAGAAAATCCAGCATGAATAGAAAAGGACGCAGAAGTATCAGAGCGAAGAGAGAACTGACAGCATGTATAGAAAAGGACACAGAAAGACTCGTGGCCTGAGAGAAAATCCAGCATGGATAGAAAAGGACACAGAAGGATCAGAGTGAAGAGAGAACAGCCAGCAATAATAGAACAGGACACCGAAGGACCAGTGAGAAGAGAGAGCAGCCAGCATGAATAGAAAAGGACACAGAAGGTTCAGAGAGAAGAGGGAAAATCCAGTATGAATAGAAAATTACACAGAAGGATCAGAGTGAAGTGAGAAAACCAGCATGAATAGAAAAGAACACAGAAGGACCAGTGGGAAGAGAGAAAAGACAGCATTTATAGAAAATGACACAGAAAGACCAGTGGGAAGAGCGAACAGCCAGCATGAATAGAAAAGGACACAGAAGTATAAGCGGGAAGAGAGAAAAGTCAGCATTAATAGAAAAGGACACAAAAGGACCAGAGGGAAGAGAGAAAACCAGCATGAATAGAAAATGACACAGAAGGACCAGTGGGGAGGGAGAAAATCCAGCTGAATAGAAAAGGACACAAAAGGACCAGAGGGAAGAGAGAAAACCAGCATGAATAGAAAATGACACAGAAGGACCAGTGGGGAGAGAGAAAATCCAGCTTGAATAGAAAAGGATACAAAAGGACCAGAGGGAAGAGAGAAAACCAGTATGAATAGAAAATGACACAGAAGGACCAGTGGGGAGAGAGAAAATCCAGAATGAATAGAAAAGGACACAAAAGGACCAGAGGGAAGAGAGAAAACCAGCATGAATAGAAAATGACACAGAAGGACCAGTGGGGAGAGAGAAAATCCAGCATGAATAAAAAAGGACGCAGAAGGACCAGTGGGGAGAGAGAAAATCCAGCATGAATAGAAAAGGACACAGAAGGACCAGTGGGGAGAGAGAAAATCCAGCATGTATAGAAAAAGACAGAAGGATCAGAGGGAAGAGAAAAAAACCAGCATGAATAGAAAAGGACACAGAAGGACCAGTGGGAAGAAAGAAAAGCCATCCAAAATAGAAAATGACAGAGAATGACTATTGGAAATAGAGAAAAGCCAGCATGAATAGAAAAGGACACAGAAGGACCAGAGTGAAGAGAGAAAGACCAGCAGGTATAGAAAAGGACAGAGAAGGACTAGGGGGAAGAGAGAAAACCAGCATGAATAGAAAAGGACACAGAATGTCCAGAAGTAAGTGGGAAAACCAGCATGAATTAAAAAAGACACAGAAGAACTAGTGGAAAGAGAGAAAAGCCAGCATGAATAGAAATGTAGAGAGAAGGACCAGTGTGAAGAGAGAAAAGCCAGCTTGAATAGAAAAGGACACAGTAGGACCAGTGGGAAGGGAGAAAATCAAGAATGAATAGAAAAGGACATAGAAGGACCAGTGGAAAGAGAGAAAATCTCGTATGAGATGAAGAAACACTCGAGGCGATTGAGATATGGTTCTGCAGAAGGATTCTAAGAATATCACGGACCGAGCGTTTGAGGAACGATCCGATCTTAGAAATGTTGAAAACTAGGAGAAGTCTTATACTTAACATCAGAAAGATGCTGCTGAAGTTTCTGGGACACATAATGACGAAGGAGGGCCTGGAGAATCTGATATTCACAAGTCAAATATAGGGAAAGAGAGACAAGAAAAGCAGTCGGTGATACAGTAGGACCAGAGCCATGATCACCTACGTCCTGAAAGGACATGGCACATAAAAAGAAAGGTCAATAATCAATTATTATCTAAAAAATAAATTATTATAATCTGAAAAACAAAACAATCAATCTCTTAGAAAACCCACATTCAGTAGACTTCTACATTGAGTTGCTCTTAGATAATGTATCGAGAAAATATCGCTAAAAAAAACATCCGAAAAGCAGTATCATTAAAGTAGTAGTTGTATCCAATCCTCGTTCAAAGAACTAATGGATTTTTTCTGGAAAATTGTACAGGGATAGTAGATCATGTAACATCACCTTAAATGCTCCAAAGGACGTTGTTTGATATCTATATTAATATTTGTGCTATTTCTAGCAAGTTTCGTATTCAACACACTTAATCCCACCCATAAATATCGGCTCCCAAAGTCTCACTGCTTGCGTGACTTCCTGCGTTATTTGTCATTATGTTATCGTATATTATAGCAAAGTATACACAGTTCTGGGTTGAACATTGAGAGACGATATTTACGGAGCAGGTTGAATGCTAAAGGGTTAACACACCTTCTGTTTTATAATCCTTTTTTTTTTTTGTGTCAGAAATGTTTATGTAAATGTTTAACAACTATTATGGGATAGAGGTTGCGTAATATAATTCTCTCTTGTTATCCTTGTTATATGTAGTGTACAAAAATGTCAACACCACTGAAAATGAAATAATGGTTAGCAGAGAAGAAAAATATTATAAGCCAAAATGTGCAGCACTTGAAAGTCACCGTTCTGTATTTACACTGAATATATTTTAAATGGACAAACAATTGTTGCTGACCTCAGTGCCTAATTATATATATATATATATATATATATATATATATATATATATATATATATATATATACTAGCAGGCTTCACTGACTTGCTATCACTTCATAAATTAAGATATATTCACTACTTGGGGCACCTCGAGTAATTGTTAGCATGTTTGTCTCGTTAGAACAATTACGACTGAGTAGTGAGTTCGATCCTCACTGGGTGTCCCCTACTTTCGGCATTGTGCCACATCTAGGCTACGCTTGGAAAATCACTATATTCATTACTTGAAATCTTTGAAACAAAAAATTTAAATGAACATTTCATTCATAAATTGGCTTGTTATAGTTAAGGAAAGTTTTACAAATAGATGCCAACTTGTTGAAGACCAAGTAAAATGCAAATTTCAATCACTTTTCTGCACTATATAAGACAATATTCCAAACAGAACTATTTTTTGTATGAAAATCAAAACAATCCTCGAATAAAAGAACACTAATTAAGGACAGTTAATTAATTAAATATACTTTTTTAAAATTAATATGAAAATTAGTTAAAACTGAACAGTGATAGTACCTAGAAGCACCAGGAGCTAGTTTAAATACCACCCGCTAGGGTAGTTTTTAAGCTAGTTTATAATAAAATGTGCACTGCAATTTTGTATACAAAAGGAAAAAATAAGAGTTACTCCCCTTGAACCATGAAAGCAACGATAATGATTAGTTTAATATATTAATATATATTTTAACCTCGCATAATCTGGCAACCCTGAAACGGAGCTCAGCGAAAATCAATCCCGGTGCCTAACTTTTCTAGGGCTTTTGAATGAGCCAATGAATCATTAAAATCGGACCAGTGGGAGTGGAGGACTTGTTTGGACACATACGCACAAATACGCATAAACTGTACTTTATAGATAAGTTTGTGGATATTATTGTTGCTTTTTGTGCTCTACTTCGTCTGATCTCTCTTTTCCTGCACTTTGCAAGTTGTCTGAGATCTTCATAAATATTTGGGCTCTCTTTGTGCATTTTTCTCTTATTTTACAAATTGTTGTAGATATTATAGTTATTGTTGTTCTTGTGCTCTTTTTCGTGTGCAATTTCCTTTCCTGCTCAGTTGTCTCATATTTTTCTTATTAATTTCTGCTCTTTTTGTGCAATCTCTCTTTTTTAACTGTTATTGGGACTATTATTATTATTATTATTATTGTTGTTTTTGTGCACTTTTTCTTCCAACCTTTCCGTTTCTTCTCCATGCTATTGGTGAATGTAAGGTTGGATTAATGAATTGCAGCCCGGAATGGTAAATTCCCCTATTCTCTCCAAGATATGGGTTAAATAGTAGAACAGAATGAGCTTTGTTGGCAACCATTCAACTCTGAATTCAAAACCGTATCTAGTCCTAGCGAAGCACGTTTTATACAGTTAAGAAAAGGATCGTGGATTTTACAAAGACTCTATGATCCGGATTACAGCTAGCATTCTTTTTATTATTATTATGGCTGCCATATTGTATTTATTTCTACGCTAGGTCTACTAAGGACGACCTCATAACCTGACCTTTTCAGACTTTTTACTCTCCATTGTTGCTCCCCGTTAAGTATTCGTATTTTATTCCGAACGGCTTGATACCTAATAGGGTTTCTCGATGAAATAAATATTTCTATGTTTTCTTACAAAATTCTGCTTTTATAAATAAATTCATTTATCCATGAAGACATACTGAAAATCTAATTTAAATCGGATAATTAGTTGATTTTTGATAGATTTATTTTTTAATAAGCTTGGCGTGGTCCGCTTGTCGACGTTGTCGAAAGTGCGAACGCACTGGGAGGAAGTTTGGGAAGAAAATTTTTCTCACAAACTAAATTATTCTGAATTATCTTTTAATTCCCGCGCTAATTGAATTTTTTGCGCGCGCTAATTGAATTTTTGCGCGCGCTAATTGAATTTTTGCGATGAAAATTGTCAACGCGTTAAACTTGCAATGAAGTTGAGATTCAAACCAATAACACGCGGCTTAATCTCTCGGATTTAGCCTGATGTTTTAGACAACCCCAGATTCTGCCGATTTCCATCGGATCGCGCGCGTGTGCGGTTCAAGTGCCCCGTATCTAGATGTGGACTTTACATTCTCGGCTGCGATATGAGAGACTCTCTAACTCATCTCTGGCGGGGTCGTCTCTCTCTCTCTCTCTATATATATATATATATATATATATAGTAAATATACATTTTCCGACATAGCACAACGCAATCGTCAAGTGCTGATTTGTCAGGTGCTGGTGAGCAATAAAATGTATATTTATTATTGATATAAATTATAGCTCTGTTATTACACTGCGAGTACTATCTTATTAGCACCAGCACACAATGTGTAATATTATTTGATATATATATATATATATATATATATATATATATATATATATATATATATATATGGTGTACGAAAAACACTTTTACAGATTTGGGGGCGAGTTTCTCACACCAAAACAAAGGCAATAGTCCATATCGACATATGTCCGCAAATCCTTCGTTTTTGAGTTATTAAGTTTAAAGTTTACGTTAGATGGCGCTGTCTTACCTTGTAGACTAGGTTTCATTTGTCATTCGTGTACATTTGCCTTTCTTCAACGTTTAACCTGTGTAGTAGTGAGATAACTGAGAAGTGTTCCGTTGGACAATGTCAGAATATTTATATTGTGAGTAGGCAGATATGAACTTTACATACGGCCGCGCGAATGGCAATGAATGTGAGGCTACACGGTTGTATTAGATTGCATTTCCAGACAGAAAGCATCCGAGTCATTCAATCTTTGATACAGTTTATCGTTGCGTTGCTGAGACAGGATCCGTGGCATCATAAACAATGGATCGAGGAAGACCGAGATTCGTTCGTACGCCTGACCACAAAAATTACATTCTACAGGCTTTCGAAGACGACCCAGGCACCAGCCCACGTCAAGTGGCCCTAGCATGTCGTACATTTCATAGTAACGCAGGGAGGGCAATTCAAGTGCAGCTCCTGTATCCATATCATTTGCAACTGGTGCAGGGTCATTCGCCCTCTGATCACTCACCATGGGAGAAATATTGCAGATGGTTTATTGTAGAAACTGTCGACCCGTTTTTTGTCTGTTCAGTCTTGCTTATGGATGAGGCAACATTGTGAAGAAATGGAATAATAAATTTACACAATCAACATTTGTGTGCGGATTAGAATCCCCATGCTGCAATAAAGGCTAGACATCAGCATCAGTATACGATTAATATGTCAACTCGAATTGTAGGTGACTGTCTGGTAGGTCCATATGTTCTTCCAGCACATCTTGCAGTAGCTGTCTACAGGGACTTTATTTTGAACACACTTCCAGACTTGCGAGAGGATGTACCCCTGTTAATACGAAAACGCATGTCATTCATATCTGGTGGGGCCCAGCATATTTTAGTCACATTCTTCGGGATGCATTAACTGACATCTACCATGAAAGATGGATGGTTAGAGGGTGGGGGGACCGGTTTCATGGCCTGCACGTTTCCCCAACCTCAATCGTTTGGATTTTTATCTGTGGGGGTCACCTAAAACAATTGGTTTATGTAGCAGACATTAATAATGTAGAGACGCTTCATCAACATGTTATAGGGGTCTGCGAAACCATTCGACATCGTGTGAGAATAGATGAAAGGTCCGCTA